TACGGTTCGTTACATTTTATACAACGGAAACAAACTTCAACAGATCATTAATTTAATTGTAGAATGGATTTTGAGATTGGATACCAGAATTTAGCCACTCCAATCAAACCATTTCTATTCACCACAAATTAGTTTGAATCAATCATATGAACGAATTGGAACGAATATTCTTTGTTGAACCATTTGAAAAATTCTTACCAACATTATTTATAATAATATGGAATTTTAGATATATATTTTTTTACCATTACATCCGAGCCATTCCTCTTGAATGACGCGAGTATAACACAACGAACTATTGAACGAAAAATGATACGAATGACAAGGATGCAACAGTAATTATTTGCATATGATGTTTTTGTGAAGAAAGAGAGAGATAGAGCTCGAGAATGAAAGAGTGAAGAAACCGAAGTCAAGCCTTTGAAATCAATTCAAGCGCCAAGGATATATGTATGTTATTATTTCAAACAACAATTGCAAATATTCCAGAAACAAATCACAAAGAATAATAGAATGTTGAAGTATCCCATATCCTGCGATATAACAATGTTGCGATCCGAATGATTGAAATGCCATTCGCAATTGGTGAACAAAATGTATCAATAGAGAGAAATCAATATGCATTTATTCTTTTATTGATGCACAAAATGTTTATTTTTACTATATTGTACACGATTGGACCGAGAAAGTGAAGAAAAATAAACCGGTTGAGTTTCAAGCAAGAGACTGCGGGAGGAGGCTGAGACCGAGAGAGATTGTTATAATAACAATCTTTAAATTAAATATACACAATCCGTTTGAAATTCAATATTTATGAAAAGCCAAATGCGAGGAAATGTCAGAAGATGAAGCACTTGGCTTATTAAATTTCAAACAAATGAACAATGGTTGCAGAAACATCAGGTGTATTATATAATTAATGTGCATACTACCGAGAGAGAGAGAGAGAGACCGATTTTATTCCTTGTTAAAAATTGAAAATGATTTATGCAAACTTAGTTGCACATTGAAATCGAGATAGCATCACTGAATCGATACGGATACGATGAGCATAAAGAAACCGGAAAATTGTACATATCTAAACTCACGGGCGAAAAAAACGAACCAAGTTATGAAATTGCTTTATCATTTCGGAGCACGTAACTAACAATTGGAATGGACACACGGTGCAAACGAGAAAACTTGTGAGTGTTGTGAAAGAGCACAACGACTTTGATTTGAAATAATCTATTCGTACGAATAAAAGAAATTCGATGCAGCTATGAAATTCGATTTTCGAGTTTGGCTTCCCACCCCCACCCAAAAAAACACTGCGGAGCAAAAATTCGATTCGAAAAACCTTGTTGTGAACGAATGGATTTACCCTCAGTTTTTAAATTGATTATCGGTTTGCCTTTTTCACTCGCTCTCACACCCGCACACACCTTTTCGCTTTAATGCTCTCTCTTCGGTTACACCATCTCACTCAGGGTTTGCTGGTTAAACTCATAATGAAAACAATAATAGACATTAGCTTATCGACGGGAATCTGAATCCCGGTTATAATATTCTCACCAGCCAAAAAGCAACACCGGACATTGGTGCCATGTGCACCTATACACGCACACCACACATCCAAAAAACGAGCGACGAGGGAAATGAATGTATTGTTCACATATTCTCAACATACGAAAAGTTTCGCATTTTCGATTTTGCCGAGAAAAATATTTTACATTTATCGCATTGTTCCGAAAAATAGCTATCGGGTAATTCAATTGTGAACACGTAACGAAGTACATAAATGATTCTTTGTTCAAGTGCAAACTCATAGTTGTGCATAGTCAAATTAATCTCGTTTGATAGTGTGAAAAAGGCGAAAAAAATACGCTCCGTTTACACATAGACATATACAGTCGAACAAACATGGACAGCAGCAATTCAAGTGGAATTTTAAGTATTTCAAATAGTTTTTCAGACACTGCACATACAGTTGAACACACACACAGCGCACAATGGTCCAACAAATTTAGAATTTGAATGCATACTCAACTTACAGTTACTAAACTTCTGCACACAATCTGTCTATGCTCAATACCTAAAGTTGCATTAAAAAAAGAGTAAATGGCGTTCGATGGCTTTGTAACTTGGAATGCACTGTATAGAAAAGTGAAGAGAAAGTTAAATCCCAAAAATGTGCATTTAAAATTATTATTTATTTCCAACCATTCTCGTTTTTCTTCATGATATCCAATAGTTTTCTCACATTTTCAAATCAATTTTAATACAATTTATCTCTGCCAGAAAAGAAAACCAATCAAATTACGTTTTACGCATCATAAACTTTTGGTGTGATTCTAATGTCTAATCACCGCAAAAATCGAATGTTGACTGGAAGTGTTTTTCACAATTTATCTGTTTTAAGAACTTTAAATTGAATTCGATTCATTATTGGTGCACCATACATGTACGAAATCAAAACAATTACGCATTCTTCGGGGATCGCAAGCTCAGAATGATATGATCGATGAATATTTTGTCGACATGTTAATGGAAATGTTATTCATTGGTTGATAGAAGGATTGACATGCTCATTAATGGCCTTTCACCACAATTTGATCTTTGGCTTTCTTTTAGAAGAAATGTATAAAAAAGCACAATTTCATAAATGGTTTACTTTAGTTTACATGCCATTTAAAATTTTATTGTCCAAGAAGCATCAATCTTATACAAAGTGAATGACAACAACATTAAAGAATGGGAACAAAGCAAAAAACTTCTGAAATTACCTCACGGACAAATTGCATATGTGATGACAATTGGCTTTCTTTCTGGCAAATAAACTAAGTAAAACTGTAGTTTGTCCTTGTATGATTTAAGATTTTGTTTCATATTTGTGATTGCACCAACGTTTGGATGCAAAGATTTTTTGTATGCAATTTCAACGATGAAGTGGTGTGTGTGCGCAAATGGTTTTGTTTAATTCAAGTTGCGCGCATTAAATTCGCTATTCGCTTGAATATTGAGATATCGAGCACACTCACAGAAAAAAATCCGGATATTTTGAACCCAGAAATCGGTTTAAATCACAGCGGAATGATTTCTGGGTTTAAATTAACCGAAAAACCGAAAAATCGGATAAGACTTAAATTTGAGACTTTCAGTGAGACTTGAATCTGTATTTCAGCGTTCACTAAACATGAAAACTGGAAAAATCTTCAAATCGATTTTTCTCGCTTTTCCGATGGGAAATCGAGAAAAATAACGGAAATTTGGTACCCCCATTGGGGCCCTATAAAGGGAGTGGACCACGAGTGCTCAAGTTCTAGAACATTTTGGGTCAGGTCGGATCCACCTATTCCACAAGATTCATGTCCAGATCATTTCTCCTCGCTCACTCTCATACGATATCATATGATACTTTTTTCTTTGGAAAATGTTTGACAATTGGATTTCGATGCATCGTTCCCAATTTTGTCTGTTGAACTCACTCCAATTTTTTTTTCTGCGTTCGATGCTCAAACCATATTCTCCCGTCTGAATGATAAACTTCGCAACATTATTGCTGAAAACACCCATTAAAATGTTCCAGACTTTTTGGCGTGTTGGCTCTCTCTATTTTTCCTGTGCGGATAATGAAAACAAAAAAGAAGTTAGCGAAAAAAAAGATAGTTTGTGTTTGGCATCAAAATAACTTGAAGACTATTCAAAGGCCTGAGTCATGTGCTCGTTCTGAATGGAGGCGAAATAAAAACAACACCAAAAAAATCGGCACTCGTTACATGTTTATAGTCGAGAAAAATTTATATGTCCCCAATAGCAAACGACTAACGATATTTTGTATGGAAAATGGTGCACAGTTTTTGTATGTGTTGCCGTTTGTTTCGATTTTAGTGATGGAAAATATCCGCGTTGAGCCATTGTGTGCTTATTCGTTGAAAATGGATGAGAATTATGATGATGACTCATTCGAATGGTTGTGACTCGGAATCGAATTAATTGCTTGGATGCTTGCGCATTTTCTCATTCCAACTCTAACATTTTTTCCATCGCCGATATTTCTTATTCGGTTTTGCTTTATTGTCTGTGCGGTTTTACTTACATGACGTTTATCTTTTTCTTTGTAACCATAAAAACAATTCCAAGTCAGTTTTTAGCTGATACACACATTACATACTCACGACATTGAATTATGATGCGATATAAAATTTGCTGTGCGCGATTGTTTGTCGTAGAATTTCTTTTTTTCAATAATTTTTCGTTGGTGTTGTTGTAAAATGTTTGTATTTTGGTTATTGTTATCTGTTTGAGTTTTGTTTGTATCGTTTCGATGGCAGGCAACCATTGAGACACTCTCCGGGGGAGACAGCGTCACATTGATGCAACGAAATATCCGAAAAAATACTGAAATCGCAGCGCTTGCCACACATACACACACAAAGAGACAGCGACCAACTCATACATAAATGCAGACACAAATCGACAATGAAAGAAACGAAGAAAAAAATACGAAGTAGCTCCGTTTGCTGGAGTAGAATGTTTGGCGCCACATTTATTATTATATGCTCTGAATTTTCTAGATTTGTTGTTACTCTTGTTTGCTCGCTTTCTTCCGATTATTGGCATAAAATATACGGCGCCGTAAATGCTATCATTTTTATACACATTCGGAACGCTCTATCCCTTTGAATGGTTTTCTTTTGCTTGTCTCTCTTTGGTGAATCGGGTTCTGGCAACTGGAGTACTGTCGCAATGAACCGATTCATTTTTACTCGCATCTCAAGAAATCGATAGAGAAAACCATTAAATTGCATCTCTTAAGATATTAATTTTCAATGGAAATGTCGTAATTTGCTGAGACTTAACGGTTAAATGATATCGATTCATTTCACCCACAAATGGATTTCCATGATAATTTACCGAAGCTATGGAAAATAATTTTCATCTTCTTGCATGTACTCTTTTTTTCTTCGTAAAGACATTTTACTGATATATCGATTTTGGTTTTTCTTCTCTCATTACAGACACAGCAGCCAGTTGGGAAGAATGGTGGACATACGATGGCATTTCAGGTAAATACACATATTTCTGGGTGAATGCACCGGAAACCTGGATCTTTTCCCTTGATATTCATAAATTTTTGAGTCAACATCGAATAAAAAATGATATTGCGATTTCCGTTATCATCGGCATTTATGAATTATTTTTCACACACCAAAAAAGAAACAAACTATTATATCAGTTTATAACTATGCAACTTTGGTTCCATTTGTGTTTTAAAAAAAAAAACAATTTTTCCACTTTTTTCCCATTTGTTGAAAAAGGTCACGATAAATTTTATGCATAAACCAATTTTGAATATGAACGACAATGAAATTATGCATGCACAAAAAAATAAATGACAAATAAACTGAAGTTTGCAACAAAAAAATAAATAAATAATAAGAGCGAGAGTTACACCGCCGGTACATGAAAATGTAACCGGGTCAATTAATCGTCGACGCTAAATAAATTTGACCGAGTACAAAAGTTTTTCAAACATATTTAAATAAAAAGGATGCGAAAAACTGCATGAAAAAAGTATAGTTGGAAATAGTAAATCTGAACGAGACCCGTGGAATGGTTACATTATACTAATTGGAATGTGCGCAACTGAAATTGAGAAGAGTCTCGCTATTATTTTGATACTATTTTCCGTCCATTTTTTGCTCTGTCGACAATTTTGATATATAAAAATCAGATTGAAAACTCGGCACCAACGCATTCGACATTGTGAAATATGCCAAATTCAATCTGCAAGTGTATAAATCACTCATAAGGCTAAATGGAATTTTTCACTACAATTCGTATTTTTTAGTACATCGAATTTAGCCTCTAGTTATGAATGTACAATTTCTGCATTGAGAACGAAATTTTCACGTTGAATTTTGTGCATTTTTTTAATTCGGCAAATTGTGCATCATCAGATGCAAATCATCCGTGAGTAATTATCGATTTGAAGGGGAAATTGCATGCTACATTGAGCCAGTCGAACTGTAAACCCAAACTTAATATCCATTGACATTGATGCATGTTTCTGCCTATTGAACTGGGTGTATATGCAGTTCGTTTTTTACTGTCTGTCTGGTCAGCCAATATTTTAAAAAAATCAAATGGGAGAGAATTTTGCAGAGGCAAAAAAAGGCCGAGAATGAGAGAGAAAATAACTAGAACGGAATTCTGTAGTTTGTAATTTTTTTCATTAAATACCATTCCATGTTAAAATGTTAGATCAGTGTAATAATACACGGTGAATGGTTGCTTTTTAGTTTTTGCACTTGTATATACATGTATTATTTCCGAGCTGTTGTTCCGAGGGTGTAATTTTTATTATTTCATCGAATATATTGCGATTGCTTTTTATTGGCCAGGCACGATGAAATTAGTGTTTGTTGTTATGATTCATATAATATTTGTTTATTGTCGATTTGGCAAGTTTTTTGGCAGCATGAGATTTGTTTGCATTGTCAACGATAAGCCACATCATATTTGGCTGTAGTTTTGTCATCCAGCCACTAAACAAACACACAACAATACATTTAGCCAAATTGATTTTTGGTTCTCGAATTTATAATAACCAGTCAAAAATGCATTACAATCGATTTTTCGACTTGGAGTTCGGTGAATAGCCAGACAGTCGGACACTGGGGCGAAATAAATTTTCCACATAAAATTCGAGTTTTTTTTTCCTTTGAAACCACGATGTGTTGCGAAAATTTGCGTTGATATTTCAATTGGTGGATAAAAATTCCCTTTTTTTCACTTAAAACTCAACTTCTGAATGAAGACAATAATCAAATCCTTTCCAAAAAGATAAATGTCATGGCATTTAAAAGTGCATCGGCAAAGATTTAAAGTCAATGAATTCAAATGGCAAAATCACATGTAGGAAAAACTTTGATAAAAAATGGCGATCTTTTTTCTGCTTAGCCTTGGAGAATGTTATTGAGTTAAATAGAGGACAAACAAACTAGTTTTTCTCTCTCGTCAACGTATGATGAATGAGCTGCACTTTATTTAATGTAAGTGTTGAGCATAATACACAGTGTTAACGATATCGGGCGAAGGGGAGTGAGAGCAAAAAAGTAGATAAAAAGGAAAATGACACTGCCATAGAAAGTGATTTTGGTTTCGAAGAGCAAAAGTGGAAAAAGCAAAATGTTATGTATGCAGCAAACTAGCAAAAGAACAGAAGTGGGGCAGAAAAAAAAACTAATTTTCCAAAGTGAAAACATGCCGTTTTGTCTCTCCATTGTGTTCTGTGTGTTATTGCAGTAAAGTTGGCATAAAGCTGGACTAATAATAATAATGACACTAAAAGTGGTCATTTTGTAGCACATAATGTTTACACCAATGGAACATATGCACGCATTCGCGCGTTTCAAAGAGTACAGCGGCGAGAATGGGGGAAAAGTAACTGAGAAAAAAATGATGACAAAGGAAACATGGATCTAGTTGTAAAAAGAACAAACCGCTTACATGCAATGGGTATGAACGAAATGAGCATGCAACCACACATACATGGCACGAAAACGCGTAAAAGGATGAGCTCAAGGCTGGCTGGTGTGAATGAGGAAAATGCTGACCTATTCGTCGTTTTCTTTTCTAAATTGTTGGATTTCTTTCAATGAGTGAAGTGATTTGATGTGGTAGCAACGGTGCGGTTAATTCACAAACAAACAAACAAAAATATATAGAAAAGATTGAATAGATCCTTTCAAATGGCCAGTTGGCTACAATCAAAAGGCTTAACATAAACCATGTTCGTAATGTAATAAAGTGAATGGTTCTTTTTTATATATAGATCCATTGTAGACACGTACATCTCAAATGTTCTTTATGAAATAATTTTTATCCAGAACACATCTCGCCGCAAGTGGTTACCAGTAAATCCATAATAATACACATGAAGTGTGTGTGTTCCAATGAAAACATTCCATTTTATGAAAACAACCATACATACCATTGCTAAATCCACAAATGCCAACTGTAATATTCTAAATTTTTTACGGAACATTGAAGCATCCTCCGCTGTGTGTATATGTAATGACAAAAGTGCTGTAATCTGTGAAGTGGCTTTTGCCTCCTTCTCTCCCTTTTCTCTTGCTCTCACATGATAAAAACAATGTATCCGCATTATGTATTATCCGCAAATGCATTTCATTAATGTTTCGAACAAATTATTGAAATTACCAACGAAATTCTTCAATCAAATTGACGGTAATGAAAACTTTGTCGAGAAAGTCGGATGCAGGAGTGTGAGTGCGACGAACCAACTGAAAATAACTCATTTTTTTGCCATTGCCGTAGTCATGGCAAAAGTCAACAATGCTAATAATTCAACGCATTTATCCAAAATGCTGCCACTTAAAACAAAAGAAAACTTCAAACAGATTTGTCAGTGCAAACATTTTCCGGTTACCAAATCAAAGCAACGACGATGATGACAACGATTTTCCTTACACTTTTCGCACTCGGCTAAGAGATTTTGGGATTTTCGTCTTTTTCCCATTGTTTTCTCACCAACACTTTCCATATTGCTAAGTTTGAGTATTTCATTCTTGTTCTTTTTCCCTCGCCATTTCTCTCTCCCTCTCTCTCTCTCTGTCATTTTTCGTTCTATGGAATTATAGTTACATAGTACTCGATGACTTTTGTGTACGGGGTTTTGCCTTTTTACAAGCGTAACAATACCACAAACTCTATCCGAAAATCGTTCACATCCATTTCGAACCAAATGAGATTCACTCGTCGTTATATTCGTTCTCTTTCTCTTTCGCTCTCGCTTCCACCTCTCCGCACATCCTCTCTTTTCAAAACTTCTTCCGTTCCGTTCGGTGCAAGTTTTTGTTTCACAATCAAGACAAGAAGTGTTTGTACAAGTGTGAAGTCTGCGTAGCGCGCGAACGAGCGCATCCGAACTTTTTCATTCGAATTTCAATAACCGCACAGAATTATTAACCTTAATAAAATTAAAACCTAAATGAAAATTGCAATTTATTTTCATGCAAAAAGTCGTCGCATTCCAAACTCGAGAGAAGAGGAGCGTTGAAGTGCTGAGAGAATTGCTTCAAAAAAGGCGTTAACAGTGGCAAAAGGAATCGGTTCTGCCATGAATGAAATCAAGAAATCTATGCAAAATGTGTCGGCGGATCCATGGATTTGTGTGTGTGTGTGTGCAAATGACTTTGCTGCTTTTGGTAAAAAGGCGCTGAAAGTTTTTCAGTTTCATTATTATTATTTTTACTGACGGTTTGTTTTCAGCGCGGCTCAAAATCACTTCACAACACGTGCGCACCACACATACGCCATGCAAACTGCTCAATTTTTCACACTGGCAACAGCAGTCAAATATTTAAATTTGCCAAACTTATTCAATAAGCATACACTTTTCGGGGCGAACATTTTTTTTCACTCTCTCTCATGTTGTTGTCGTGCTTCAAATTTTGTCTATTCCACGGGGTAAAAGTGTTGCTTGTCTCTCTGCACCACAAAACTTGAAATGAATTCGACATGCACATTCGCATCTTCATTGGGATAAAATTAATTTTGCTGTTTTGCATCGTTTGGTGAAACCGCGCTTTTTTTGCTCTCGCTCCAAAGACTCAAAACATCAACTTCGACAAATGTCGACCGCGCAAAATGTTCCCAACCAATTCTAACAGGGGCAAAGGCTTTGGCCTCACTCACCAGAAATGCTTTTATTTTTGACTGGTAAAACTTTTTTCATGTTTCATAACATTCGGTTGTTAGTCCAGGACTTTTTTAAAATTGCAACAATTAATCTTATCGTTTGGGAAGTGTTCAACATTTTGCGTTTAAACACTCCATGTCAGTTCTGATGGGTATACGCGGTTACAAAACATTACTATGTTCAGAATGCCGAAGAAAAAAGTGTATATTTCTGCAAGTAATGGCCCAATTAAGCGAACGTAATGAAGTGAATTCTTCTAAATGGTCGCATCAAATGCATTAAAACTTGCACGAAAAGTTCGTATGTGATTTTTTTCTTGCTTCGCTTTTGAAGTCATGA